GTTGAGGCAGGACGGTTTTCCCTTGGTACTCCCAGTATCCTGTTTCTGGGTTGTTGAAAGCCCCAATTTTTTCAAGTAATTTTCTGTCCTCTGGAGTGTAGTCTCTGATGGCCTCCTTTCTTTTGCGTTCAGCGTCAATTTGCGTGGTTAGTATTTGGCTCTTGGAGGCAATGTCTCTGGCCGTCTGGTCAGCTAGACGATTTCCCCTTGCCTCGGGGTGGTTCACTTTTTGGTGGCCTGGGCAGTGTATGATACTGAGTTCTTTCGGCAGAAATAAGGCCTCTAGAAGCGCTATGATCTCAGCTTTGTTTTTTTATTTCTTTTCCTCCTGAAGTAAGGAGCCCCCTTCTTTTATAAATCTCCCCGTGGATGTGCGCAGTGGTGAAGGCATATCGGCTATCAGTATATACATTCAACCTCTTACCTTCTGCCAGTCGCAGGGCCTGCGTCAGGGGCACTAGCTCAGCCTTTTGCGCGGATGTCCCCTCTGGTAAGGGTTCTGCCCATATCACTTTGTTGTCCGAGGTGACCGCTGCCCCTGCCCAGCGCTTACCCTCTGAAAGGAAACTGCTTCCATCCGTGTACCAGGTGTAATCTGCTCCCTCTATAGGTTGATCGCTGAGGTCTGGTCGAGTGCCAAAAACCTCAGCCAGGACACGATGGCAGTCATGGTCAGCCTGGGAGTTGGGTTCTTCTGCAGAGGGTAGCAATGTCGCGGGGTTGAGGGCGACGGGGAGTCCGAACTGAATGCGGTCAGTGTCCAGGAGCAAGGCCTGATAATGAGTCATCCGGGCATTCGAGAGCCATCGGTCCGGGGGCTGTTTGATGAGAGACTCGAGAGCGTGGGGGGACCGTATGCATAGGGGCTGACCCATAGTCAACTTGGAAGCATCTTTGACCAGGACTGCCAGGGCAGCCACCATCCTCAGACAAGGTGGCCAGCCGGCAGCCACTGGGTCTAGTGTCTTTGATAAGTAAGCTACGGGGCGTCTCCACGGCCCAAATTTTTGAGTCAGGACCCCCTTCGCATACCCCAGCTTTTCATATTCATCTTCTAGTCGGAGGGTAAGTACCTGTATCGGTGCTCCTGTGGAATCTGTGATTCTAGCCCCTTTTCTTTCAAAATAAATGTGTGCTCCAAGCTTGGTTAGTAGATCTCTTCCTAACAAAGGGTAGGGACAGTCTGGTACATGTAAAAAGGTATGAGTCACGGTCCCTGAGGCGAGCTGGACTTTCCGGCCTGTAGTCCAGCAGTAACGCTTTGCTCCAGTAGCCCCTTCTACCCATATTGTCTTTTTACTAAGCGGGCCAGTCGTTTGGGTGAGGACGGAATGTTGCGCCCCAGTGTCTACCATGAAGGTGACTGGCTGTCCCCCCACATGAAGAGTTACCCTGGGCTCAGGTGGGGGTTCCTGGCCCCGACCTCCCTAATCGAGGTTGAGGATCTCAGCTTTTTCTTCTTGCTGTTTTTTCTTTTTCTTGGGGCAGTTCTTTACCCAGTGTCCTCTTTCCTTGCAGTAGGCGCACTGGTCTTTTTCTAACCAGACACGCCCTCGATCTCCCCCCCTTTCTATTCTGACTTCATTTTCTTTTCTCACTACTGTGGCCAGGATTCTACTTAATTCTTTATTTCGCTTTCGATCTCTCACTGCCTCTCTATCTTCTGCCTCTCTTTTTTGTCTTTCTTCTTTCTCCTCTGGTGTTTCCCTTTTGTTAAAGATCCTCTCTGCCTCCCTTAAGAGGTCCCTAAGACCTTGCCCCTGTAAATTCTCCATTCTTTGGAGTTTACTCCTAATATCAGGAGCTGATTGCCATATGAAAGACATGGAAACACTTACTTCCTGATCGGGGCTGTCTGGATCAAAGGGAGTGTACCTCCGATATGCCTCTTTAAGTCTTTCTAGAAACACAGTGGGCGGCTCGTCTGCTCCCTGTGTCACTGACCTTACCTTGGCCAAATTGGTGGGGCATCTCCCTGCCCCTTGGAGGCCTGCTACAAGCACCTGGCAATAAAGACGTAGGTGTTCCCTACCTTCAGCCGTGTTGAAATCCCAAGCAGGTCTGGTGAGGGGAAAGGCAGTCTCGATCTCGTTTGGTAGTTGGGTTGGTCTCCCGTCTGCCTCTGGGACATGCTTTCGGGCTTCAAGAATGACTCTCTGCTTTTCCTCCGTAGTTAGGAGGACCTGCAGGAGCTGCTGGCAATCGTCCCACGTGGGTTGGTGGGTAAGGAGGATAGATTCTATCAAGGCTGTTAGAGCCTGCGGGTCTTGGGAAAAGGACGGGTTATGAGTTTTCCAGTTATACAGGTCTGAAGCGGAGAAGGGCCAGTACTGTAACTGGTTTCCTTCCCCTCCTGCGAGTCGGAGGGGAAGGATGTGTGAGGAATCTCCCTGTCCTCTCCTGTCTCTGAGTCACCCCGCGATGGGGGAGGGGGCGACCTCCGGTCCTTCTGCTTGGGCGTCGTCTGGAACAGCCACAGTGGCCTGCGGAGGAGGGTGGTAGGGAGGGGGATTCTCACTCAGCAGATCAGCAGGAACACTCTCATCAGGGGGTAGAACAGGTTTAGGTTTCACCACCACAGGATACAAGGAGAACGTTGGAGGGTCCGGGTTAGGGGCAGAAGGGAGGGGGGTTCTTTGTGAAGGACTGAGAAAAGGAGTCACCCACGGTGGTGGGTCCAGGGAAAGGTTTTCCCAAGTGACTATGTAAGCCACTTGGTTCGGATGCCCCGTTAGTCCAGGGGAGAAGATTTTAGCTTTAACCTGCAAAATAACATCAGAATCAAATGTCCCATCCCGAGGCCAACCAACATTAAACATTGGCCACTCAGAGGAACAAAAGGTTATCCATTGGTGCTTCTTAATTTCCACAGATTGATTGTGAGCTTGGCTCTTAACTTCTTTCCAGTGATCTAGAGTTAAACTCAGGGGGGTGGTTAGTTGTTGTCCCATTTTGGGGTATTCTAAAATCACAATGAAACAGACAAACAACAGAAACAACAAAAATAGACAGCCGGCGATGAGGTATCGCTTAGCGCTACTTCGGAGAAAAACTGAAAGAAAAAAATCAGATGGCGAGGCTGTCACTTCGCTCCTCAGGAGCAAGTATCCTTCAGATGCATGCTGAGCCCCAAAATATCGGGCTCCCCAGACCATGGGGGCCGGTCGCGACCAACACAAATACACAGCAACACAGAAACACCGACACTGACTCAGGTGTGCAGCTCGGAATAACAGATGACAAGGAAGTTCCTTGTCCAGACGAGACCCACAGAAATCCTACAGATGAACAAAAAGTTCTACAGACGTGGGTCTCACAGTCCTGGAGCGTCCCCCAGGCCGGCAGGCAAAGCTTAAAGACTCGTCAGTCTTGCTTTTGCACTGCCCAGAAATACAGACGGGATCCCCAGATTCTACAGATGCTGCACTATCAACAAAACCAGACAATACAACACAGAGGCTGGCCAACTCACCTCCCCGCAAGGCTCGAGTTGCCCTGGTGGCTCCCTCTGACCAACAAATCTCGGTGGGACCTCCAAATGTAGGAGAGAAAAACCACAGAGGACAAGCCAGCCTTCGGGTTGCAACAGCAAGAGGTTTATTTAGTACACAGGTACCTGTGGGCACAAAGTCTCCTCGGGGGACTTGCGCGCCTCAGGTCGGGTTTGTGGAACTTTTATAGAGCAGAAGCGGGATACAGAAGCAGAAACGCAGTTATTGGTTAATTTAAACTATTACAAAATGCTACGGGGAGAGCGGGAAGCTTACTTATCAGTAAGCCAGATGTCTCAACCATAAAACTTACTTATCAGTGGTTGGAGATGTCTCGGCCATGAAACTTACTTATCAGTAAGCCAGATGTCTCAGCCATAAAACTTACTTATCAGTAAGCCAGATGTCTCAGCCATAAAACTTACTTATCAGTAGGCCAGATGTCTCAGCCATAAAACTTACTTTTCAGTGAGTTGGAATTCCTGACCGGTACGTGACCTGCCTGAGAGACTTCATGGCTCCTGACTTTTATATATATTTTTCAACAGCACCCACTTCATTTCAATGGTGTTCATAAAAGAGGAGTGATTTCAGTGACACCTGCCCCAGGGAGTGAAAGAAGACATTGTAGGATGCTCTCAGCTGGATAAGATCCTTTTAAAAAACATATTATTCAGGGGCTGGAGAGATGGTTCAGTGGTTAAGAGCACTGGCTGTTCTTGCCTCTCAAGCAGTCTTCTGCGTTCTCAACCCTATGCCAGAGGGAGGCCAGAACTGGGCACTCTCTGGCCATCTGCTGAGATCTGAGCATCTACACAGATGTAGGTCTGAACCCACCCTCTCAGGCTGTCTGCTGGGATCTCAGCCTTAGTCTACCAAAGCCAGACCTGCCCTAAGGCCTTGGGAGGGGCCTCACAAAATCCCAGGTAGGGGGATGGGTATGGCACTATTAGGGAAAGCTCACCACAACGTGGAGGTAGGATCCAGGGGCTCTCAGGCCCTCTGCTAGATGGAGGCCAGAGGGAGGCCAGAGCTGAGCACTCTCTGGCAGTCTGCTGAGATACAAGCCACTACACCAATGGAGGTCCAAACCTACTCTCTCAGGCTAGGATCTCCGGGAGAATTTATTTTTATTTTCATACAGGATTAGGCTGTTGTAGACTTTTCTCAACCATTCAGGTGTGTATCACTTGTGTCTTACTCAACCATAAAGCTCCCAAGAATTTTACAGCTTATAGCTGGGTTTTGTTTCTTCAGGTATACTTAATATCTTTCAAATGGTTTCACATCTGTAAAATACTTAGAGGTTAACATTATATATTAAATTAAAGAGAGTAAAGGTCTAACAAAGCATGGGAAGATTTTATTCATTTGTATTAATTGTTTTCTCAACAGATCTCTGTTGGGTACCATAGCATGGATAAGAGGTATTAACTTGGTTAGTTCTTTACTATCTGTAGTTATCTTTTTTGGAGTCATTCCACATTCTGGGGGTTTTCCATGGAGCCTCCCTGTACTTTTTTATCCTTGATAAACTCATGGATGCTGGTTCAAATTGCCTGACCTTGCACTGGGCTGAGGAGGCAGAGGGCCCCTCTTGTCCCTGCTACACATGTTGGTTCTCCAAGTCAGCTAGGTCCTCAGTCTGCATCCTGGGTGTAACCATATCTGCTGTTTCTCCATTGACCATACCTGGCTGCTCGGGGAAGCCCTGGAGGGAAAAACTGCCTCCACTCCTAGCATAACCTTTCTCAGGAGAGAAATGTACCTGGTTTAATCTTTGTGGATTCTTATCTACCCCTGGGACAGTTTTTATTCTTTGTATGCCATTTGTGAACTGTTCCTCAGGTTTTAAAGCCTTCCAGAAACTCCTTAGTAGAGATTTGGGGGGTTTTGCCAATTTCTTCTTTAGGAACTTTGGCTAGACATAAATTTTGCCACATTTGCCTTCGAGTAACCCAAACAGACCTCTTTTTCTGTTTTGCCTTTTTTATATCTCTTGTAAGTTGTTCTATTATTTTACAGACACGTTTTACATGCTGGTTCAAGTCACTTAAATCTGTCAAAGCTTCCCTTGTAGGACCCAGAGATCCCCCTCATTCAACCCCTCCTGACACCCCACTGATTGCTCTTTTCACTCCTCCCAACACCCCACTGATTGCTCTTTTCAGCTTTTGTGTAATGCTTGAAATGCACACCTTCTGCTACTCCTCCTCTGCTGTTCCCTTTCCAGGAAACTATAGATTAGATAAGCCGGGGTATAACCCCTGCTCTATAGAGAAAAAATAAAGACTCCTAACCACACTGATGGCCCACACATTCCACAACCCTGAGAACAACACCCGCCAATAAAAAATCTCCACAATGGCATCCTGTACAATCAGTTCAAAGGTGTGTTGGCGCGAACAGGATTCTTGGACCAACTACAAAGTGACACTGTTATTCCCCTCCTCTCTTTGTTTCTAACCTATAAAGAGCCCCTTCTTCCCCCACCCGGGGCTCTCAGCACGGTTCCATCATACGGGTGCGGGTGCAGTCTGAGAGCCCGAGCTTAAGCCCGAATAAACTATAAACCTTGCTTTTGCATTTTTGGTGTGTTGGGTCCTCGGTGGTCTTCTTGGGGTCCTGTGATTGAGGTAGAACACCTTACTTTACAAAGATCCTGCCCCAGTGATGGACTTGGCAAAACCATTAAAGCTCCATACCATTCTCAAGGTCCCTGTTGAATCAAGTTTTCCTTTAAATCTCTGGTGAATGCAGTCCTATCCGGCCCAGTGAACTTGGCATCATACATTGCTTTCCTTATACCTTGTTCTCTCAGTAATGTCTATCCCTCTTCTATGATCCTCCAGCCCATGCTAGCCATGGGAGCCTCCATTGGTGATTACCAAGTATCTCTAATGCCTCACACAAACCATTCTATTAGGGACTTCTTCCCCCTGTACTGCCTCAGGCTATACAGCCTAAGTCTCAAGGAATGATGGGTGGCTATATAGCTCACCTTCAATGCTTCTTAAGCACTTAAACTGATATTATCTGCTCCCATGTCCCACATCCTCATGAGTTCACATGGTAAGGGGCACCTTCATTGCCTGTTTGAAAGTCTTCTCTAGTTCCACCAGCTCCAGTGTGGAGTTGTAGCCAAGAAACCACTCATTCATCCAAAAAGCATGAGCGACGGGCAAACACAGGGTACCCTGGGAAGACAGGTGGAGCCTAGCCACCGGCAGAGCTAGTGATGGGGAGATTTGAAGAGAGAGGGAGCCAAGGGTGTGGCAGATCTGCAGCTGGGACCAGGAAGTGTATGGCCACCAGAGCAAATGGTAGAGCATCCTGAAGGACATGGATGTGAGATGGGGCATTCACAGACCCTGACAACGGGCAAACACAGGGTACCCTGGGAAGACAGGTGGAGCCTAGCCACTGGCAGAGCTAGTGATGGGGAGATTTGAAGAGAGAGGGAGCCAAGGGTGTGGCAGATCTGCAGCTGGGACCAGGAAGTGTATGGCCACCAGAGCAAATGGTAGAGCATCCTGAAGGACATGGATGTGAGATGGGGCATTCACAGACCCTGGTGTGAGACCACATGCCCACAGGGTGCAGACAAAAGCTAACAGAGACTGCCATTTCTTTGTAAGTCGCTCTCTCCCTATTATATAAATCATGCTAAACCCAAGTTAAAAATGTCTGTGATCCCTGGGGCCTTGGAAGGCATGTGACCCTCCCAAGAAGGGAAAAGGGAAAAAATTTAGTGCAACAGGAGTATTTTCTGCTGGCTATAGCTCTTTGCATCAGACCATTGTTAAGGCCTTCATCAGCATGTTGAAACATGACTTTTTCCTTTCTTTGTGTTAAAGTTTGAGACTGAGGGGCATCTTTAGCTATTTTTTTGGTCATTCCCTTCCTCATTACTGTCTTCTCCCATGGTTCCCATGTCTTGGTATTCCAGAATAAGCCTCATATTAAAGAACTAATCTGGGCTCTCTTTCCTCTTCAGTCCCCGAACCTTAAGGAATGGCAAGTTAAAATATCCAGTTCTTTTTTTCTCTTATGTAGTTAACTTGCAAGTTCTAAGGCTAACACTGAATACACCAGTAATTCCTTCCTTGTCTTTTCAGTCTTCCCCTCTGGCTATTTTCTCTGCCTCAGACAAATATTTTGTTATGCAAAGAAGTGGCCAAGCAGATTCAGTGGCTGCCTTTTTTACTTTTGATCCCAGCTCTACTTCCCTGGCTTGTAAAATTTTTCCTAGACCTTCCACAGTCCTTAAAGTATTTTCATACATGTGCAGGGGTAGCCTCCATCACTTAAACAGGAATGCTATTTTATACAATTTACAAAATGGCTGCCACCCAGGGATTTTTGCCCACTGAACTCATCTGCTTAGCCAGCCTCTTTAAAGTTACATATCTCACTATCCATCACATAATGCATGTGACTGTTAGTACCCCCAATAAGCTTATGGGGATAGCACACCAAGTCAGTATTTCTTCTGCCCACACTCTCC